AAAGCAGGGAGCTGAGCTCCTGTAAGACCTGATCCCTTTCCCAGTCACTTAGGTATCACTACCCACAAGTGGGCAAACCCAAGTATAGACTGCAAACGTGCCCTCCATTTGTCCTGGACAATGCTGATGGCCTTGGCACTGTGAACATTAACTCAGCAGGCTTGTTTACTTGCTCAGGTGATGTCCGGTCTTGGTGAATCTGAATTTACTTGTTGATATTTATCAATACCAATGGGTGCAACTTTCCATTGCATTGGAATAGGTGTAGGGAAAGAGACTTAGATTTTGCAGGTAAACAGTAAATTGGTGGACTAAAAAGGAATAGAAGAAATATCTCAAATACTTTAAATTTAAATAATATGTTCTTTAAAACTCTTGGATTGTTGAGAAAGCTATAGTGAAAATTTAAAACTGAACAATAGTGAAGAAAATAATTGTATCAGATTAATGGGACATGGTTAGAATAGTGCTTAGAAATATTTCATTTTAAATGTATTTACCAGGAAACAGAAAGTTGAAAACAAATGAGTTCAGTGTTCAACCCAGAAGTTGGGAAAAGATCAGTAAGTCAAACACAGAGAAATGAAAAGTAGAAAAGAATGTTTCCTATTTTCTATATGTTATTCCAGAAACTATGAAACAAGGAAAGCTATAACATTTTTGCACAAGGCTACTATAATCTTGATTTCAAAGGGAGATGATAGTATAAGTAATGAAATTGTCCCATTTCACTAATATAGATAGAAAAATAAACTATGAGCCAACCATACCTAATAATTTACTCAAAATGAATATATTATCAAATAAGGTTTATTCTATAAAAGTCTGTCTATGTAATGCACCACAGTAATGAACTAAAAAGGGTTCGTGGTGGAATTTTCTCAGTAGATACTAAAAAGGCAGTCATTTGATCCAGCACGTCATGATAAAAGCAAACAAATGCAGCTCAACACCACAGACACAGAGGGGATTTCTGTAAAGTTGATGATGGTTATAACATCAAAAACCTACATCAAGCGTAATATTTTCTTCTTTTTTATTTTAAAGAGAATAAAAAAGGACAATAGCAAAATATCAACAATGTAGACAAAAACTCGAGGCTTTTATGGGTAAACGGATGTACCTAGACACCATATTCATAAGTGAAAAAATTGGACACACACATGTAAACATCGTATTGTTTCCCTAGTGTAAGAACATAAAAGAGTAAATAAAACCCAAAACGTACAATAGATATTACAAAAGGGAAAGAAATTGCTCAAAAAAATCAAGCATAATATTAACGAACAGACTTTGACTGCATTCATAATAAAACTGAGACCTAGCATGTATGCCTACTGTACCTGCTACTGTTTACACAATGTCCCCAGATTTGCCAATGAGTTTGATTGCCAAAACAATCAAAATTTCATCTGGAGTATGGAATTACAAGTGTGTATGAACGAAACGTGATCAGGAAATAAAAGGAAACGCAATAGAGTGGACCACGGGAGCCCATTCCATCTCAGAACCAGACTCCAGTGCACAGGGAGCTTAGTAAGATGTGCACTTGTGCACGTGGACCCAAGTCACAGGGGAGTCTCTGGCCGTGCTTGTCCCAGAAGAGACCCTTCTACCCCATCTCAGAAAAGTGACGTAAAAGTGTCAGTGGAGAAAAGGGTCTGTGGACAGTAGTAACTCACGACATGGAAAAGAAGAACTACGGAGTCTTTACATAGCTGACAGTTAGAGCAGTTAAGGATCCAAACGAGAAAGGGGGAACTGAACTGACGGCAGGAGAAAGCAGGGGGCAGAGAGAGGAAGGCGGCCCGCGACAGCTGTGGTGGGGCCCAGGAGGGGGTGCAAGGTCGGCATCCACAATGTGCAAATTGATACTGCACATCAGGAAAAGACAGGAGTCCTAGTAGAAATTGGGGGAAGGGTGTGTTGATTATGTGGACACTGGAGTAGCATCAGGGTATAAAGAAATACATTCATTGGTTATAAAAGAAATGCACATTAAAAATACAAGCAAGATACCCCTTCATCCTCATCAGACTGGTGAAGTAAATAAAAATAAACGACCCAATTCTAACTTTGGGAGAATGCAGAGTGTTAGGAATACTCTACAACAGGCTCCTTTCTCCCGCCAGAGGGAGTATGGATGGGTACAAACTACTCTGAACAAAGGGAAGCCCGGCAGTAATTTGTGAAATTAAGAATTTATGTTCTCTATGATTGAGAGCCTCACTCACCTGCCCTGAAAAGTTTATCCCCAGGCCTATCCAGAAAGGATCGAGGATGAGGATGTCTATCACAGCACCCCTTGGGCTTGTGGAGAGTGAGGGAACCTAGGTTACCCAGCACAACGTATTAGAGAAGCTGCGTTCAGGGACAGGCAGTGCACGTAAGGAATCAAGACAAAAGAGAATGAGCAAATACACAAGAGAGACGTAGGTGTGGTGGTGCATGCCTGTAAATCCAGCATTCTGCGAGGCTGAGGCAGAAGGTTCACAACTCTGAACCCAATCTGGGCAATTTAGTGACTTAGCAAGACCTTGTCTCAAAAACAAAACAAAACAAAACAACATGGATTGGGGATATAGCTTACTGTGAAGGCCTTAGTTTCCATCTCCAGGATCCTCCTCCAAAGAAAAATCAACCAGTTAAACAAATAACACAAGCAAGAGAGGAGTTTTGTAGGCTTTATGTGTCACAGATTCATGGGTTGTGATCAACTCCATCTTCTGCACATCAAGTTAGATTCAAAGGAGTTGATAAGCCAGTGATGGGAAATCTGCGACTTCCAGAGCAGCAAAAGCCAGCTCGAGGGTCACCAGCAGCACCACTGCACATCTTGTGACACGGGTCCCACTGCTGACAGCCACTAACTCTGTCTCGGATCTGCAGACTGTGAATGCGTCTACGTCTGCACTTTCTCCGCACTTTTCTTAAGAACTCCACTGTCCTTAGTTACAGCAACGCATTCTATTCTAACCAATTATCTGTAAAGCTGTGTCACAAGCAGTCTCAAACTGAGTGAGCATTTACTTAGTCCACAGATATATTTTCTCTTTTTCCCAAATATATTTTTTAAACAGACCATGAATACTCTTTCTCTCTGTCTGTCCCTGTCTGTCTCTGTCTCTGTCTCTCTTTCTGTCTCTATCTCTGTCTCTGTCTGTCTGTCTCTCTCTTTCTAAGGTAGCAGACAATTAAGTGTTCATGCTTCTCAACCCAGATCTGGGGCATCTTTACATGAAATAAGTAAATAGGTTTAAAAATCCCATTTTTAGCTGATGGGCAGAGAAAAGAGAAGGGCTATCGTGATGTTCTCCTAAAAATCATGGTGTCCCATTTCAAAAAGGAAAGGAAGAGCATTTCAGAGCCCGAGACTTGAAGATGGGTGAAACGTTGCTTGCATTTAGGCCACGACTTAAACCTCCTGGGCCTCCATTTCTTTTTCTATACCAGGGATTCAGATAGCATTTCTATCACGGTACCATTCCTTTATGCCTAGTTCATAGGGTTGCCAGGAGGAAGAAATTTGTCACGTGGAGAGCCTGTCACCGTGTGAAGCACAGGAAGCAGACAGGTGGTGATTACCGCTTGCTTACATCTCCTGCACCCCTGTTACGCTCCAGGTGCAGTTACAGTCAAGGTCTGGCCCTTCCACATTCAACAACCTTGAGCTCCCTCGTGCCATCGGGAACACTGGCCAGACACCCAAGCATGCCCGGGGACAGAGGCTGCGCTTTCTATGTCTGCATCCCTGGCAGCCAGTAGAAACCCGGCACACCCCAGAGGCTCCAAAAATCCTAAACCATCCTCAAAAGCCCCATCTTAAAGGCAACAAGGCATAGGCTTGAGCCAAGGCATGCGGCTCTTCCATGGTAAAGCCAGGGACGGACCCACTTGTTTTTAATCCACAGCCCGAGACTTTCTTTTTCTTTTTTTAGCAGATGCTTGGTTTTTCGGTCAAAGAATTGCAGGATGGGAGGGGGTGGGCTTCTAGCAGCCTCTATTATTGGCCTGTGTCTCACAGCCCACTGACCTCACCTGGGTAAATATGAAGCAGGCACTTGAGGCCTCTGTGCAGCTGACACGCTGCATCTTTCGGGAAACTCTAACTTTCCATGTTCTTTGTGTATTTCGCCTTTCCTGTTGGTGACTCCTACCCCAGCTGTTTCCTTTGTAGATAAAATGGGGTTAACGGTGTTGCCCTGTCTCTGTGGAACGCAGTTCCGGCCTCCTCCGGCTCGCTCCCGGCCTGGCCTGTTTGATCATCTTCAGGAGCCTCAGTCCTCTGTCTGTCTGTCAGCAGCACTGCCGCGTGGCCAGGGAGGCCGGGAGCTGCCCTGCCCCCGAGTGTGTATTCACAAAGCTCCCAAGGCCAGCCGGCACGTGGCACGGTCCTATCTGTTGTCAGGTTCTGCTCATTTACTGACTGCTGCGCTCTGTGGGGAGGAGCTGGACGGGACATTAGTCCATCGCCTTGTCCCTCACCCAGCACAGCGAGGCAGCGCTGCTGTCCTCCCCTGAGCGTCCCCAGGGCTCTGTAAGTGGCTGCGGGACTTGTGATGCATTTCAACCCAGCCGACCCCTATCTTTGTTCTTTAGCTGCAGTTCTCAGTGTCCACGACGTCGTCAACACATAGATTTCCCCAGACAAAGCACAGCAAGGGTCAGTAAGAGGGACTGAAAAAATCTAAATTAGGATCCTGGCTGTGTTTGGACAGGGAGCGAGGGGGAATTGCTCACATGGTTATTAGCGTCAGGCTGAGGCAGGTTTCCTCCAGTTGCAGGCGACCTGCAGTCCAGGCTCCTGAGAGTTCTTTTAGTGTCAGCCTGTCTGATTCTGGGCACAGGCGGCCCTGGGGTCTCTGGCCTCTGCCTCTGTCCAGGGCAGGCTGACAAGCGCACCACGCAGGTTGGCAGGAGCTCCTGGTCCCTCCTCTCACCCTGCTGCGTCAGGACAACGCCCACCAGGACTGTGACCCTGCAGGTGACACGGCAGAATACGCCCTTGTCCAGGTTAAAACGCTCAACCTCCACCCCGTGCTGACTACAGACCTGCTGGGACTGACGCCTGGTGCTAGAGACAGCTCTCGCCAGCAGCCAGAATGTCAGCCGTGGTCCTGGAGAACGGAGGCTCCGGCCGAAAATTCTCAGACTTTGGACAGGTGAGCCAGGGCCGCCTCAGCTGCTCAGGAAGGAAGTTTGGCTGCCGAGGGAGAAAGAGGTCTTAGCAGGGTATGGTGGTGCACACCCATAATCCCAACATTCTGGGAGGCTGAGGCAGGAGGATTTTGAGTTCAAGCCTAGGCTGGGCAACGTTACGACTTAGAGGAGAGTTTGTCTCAAAGTAAAAAATTAAAAGGGTTGGAAAAGTAGCTCAGCATTCAACCTCCAATGGAGGGTGAGTGTTTGTGGGGAGAGGTCTGAGAAATAAAATATTGATGTTTCCTAGTTCCATGAGCTCACCAAGAAGTCTGGCTTCATTTGCAGAGGATGAGAATGACCAGGAAGTCATCAGTTAGGACTGCTCTTCACAGAGGTCCCCAAGGGGAAGCGCCTCTGTCCCCATGGCTTTCAGGGAGAAAGAGCACTCCTTAGGAGTTGGGGGTCCCCTGTCCAGAGCTGTGTGTCTTTGGACAAGCCATGCCCCTCTCTGTTTCTATTTTCTCTCTCTAAACTGGAAGCGCTGGTCACCCATGACCTGGGGCAGAGGTCGGGTCCTTGTAGGTCCCTTCCGTGAGGTTTATAAAGTGCTCGTGGCCGGTTATGAAAAAGGTAAAATTGTGGGAAACTGTATCCTCCTTCAGCATGAAGAGGATTTGGGTGCTTAGTCTGACCTGGGAGGGAGGAACTCAGCAGAGGGGAAGATGCAGGCCTTCGGCTCCTCTCCCAGGGGTAGAAGGACTCAGAGTCCAAAGAGCGACTTGGGGACAATGACGGGATGGGGTCCGCACCTGGGGTGTGGTCCACACCAGGCTTTGCTATTGTTCTCTTGAGGTGAGCATTCGCAGGGTACATTTTAAAATCTGACTGACATACATCCTCACCCCAGGCAGGACATCACTCTGGGACTCTGAGATGTAGACCGCAGCAAGGCCCTGGGCCTGCAGGGTCAGGCAGAGCCAGTGGGCGGTGAGAGAGGGAAGGAGGGTCCAGGCCAAAGGAGCCTGACGGGAGAGGCTGTGGGGATTTGGACTGGCTCCCTCGGATCCAAGGACAGAGGCCTCCACATGGCCATGGGAGGGGATTACGGCCGCCATCAGGTCAGGGAGCCAGGGGGTCCTAAAGCCTTCTTTCTATAGCATTTAGATCAGGAATCCACAGGGTATCACTGCCAAGGACAGGGCCCTCGTAGAATGGTGGGTTTGGAGCACGCCCGGGTTTAACCTCTGCATTGACATGGGTATCTGATGGGTAGCAGAGCTTCAGACTTGTTTATTTGAAAAGTAGGAATAAAAATAACTACATCCTAGGGCCACTATGAGAATTAAATGAAATAAGGCCTATCAATCTTTCCGTCCAGTTCCTAGAACATAGGAAAGTGCCACTGTGTGTCCAGCTAGAACCAAGGGGTTTATTCAACAAAATGTCCTGAACTCCAGCAGGAAGGATGGGCAAGGAGTCCAGCGCTGTGCCCGGCAGCCGCATCCTGGGAAGGGTGCTGGGGTACAGTCAGGAGCCCTGGGCCTCCTGGGCCACTAAGGCTGTGAGCTAGGAAAGCCGTGTGCTTGGAGTGAGGAGGCTCAGGGCGATCTCTGTAAGGCCGAGGCAGACAGGGTGGGGCTCCTTTAGTCTTCAAGCTCCTTCCAGCTCTGACATCTGCAGCGAGATGACAGGGAGGACCCCACGTGCTGTGGGCATAGATTCTGTCAGAGCTTTACCCAGGTGACACGCAACTGTCCTGCAGAGTGTTTTAACTCTTTCGTGCACTCAGCCGAGACCTACCGAGCACTTGCCTATTCTGGGTGGAGCAATTTCTGCCCCGCAAAAACGTATTCTCATGCAAGCGGTAAGCAATTAACAATTAACAATTAACAAAAGAACCACGTAATACAATTTCACATAGAGATAAATGCTGTGAAAAGAGAACAGAGTGATGGGATAGGATGTGAGGAAATCAGAAATCATATCGACGAACAGTGAGGCTGGTGTTTGAACCTTGAGCTGAATCCAACAGCTGTGAACATTTCTTTAGCACAACACCTCTCCCGGCAGGTCAAGGCTGGAATGTAGAGGTATTCAGGAAGTTTGTTTCCTGCTGCGAGAGGTGCAGTGTGGCAGGAGATTTACACCCTGTTTTTAGTCATCTTATAGTGTGTGTGTGTGTGTGTGTGTGTGTGTGTGAGAGAGCTCTTAGTCTGTCTTTGAGGGAGACAGACTAAGAGAGAGAGGAGAGAGAGAGAGAGAGAGAGAGAGAGAGAGAGAGAGAGATCGCACCTACAAATACACACCTCCCCCTAACCCTTCAAGAACCAGGACTGAAAGTTAACCCTCCTGGAATACCCTGACTAAAATGTGTTGCTGTAAATTGGAAATCTGGTCTGTTCTAAAGGTAACAGAATGGATTTTTTAGATAAAACAAAAAAGAACATGCTATGTTTCTATGACGCATGCATTCAACGTTCAGCCACTGAAATTCTTTGATTCTTGGTTCCTGACAAAGTCCCTCCCTTCTGCCTTCTTTCTTCCTGTTGAGTTTGTGAGTTCCTTTTCTCTGCCTTGCACCTGTCCTGAATATATGAATGTGTGCAAGTCAACTCACACATCTGTTGGAAATAAATTAGGTACGGCTTATGAGATGATTGAAAAAATACTCTGGAAGAGTTTTGCCAAAGGTCTGTGATTAGCGAGACCAACGCGGCAGTGTCAGAATCCAGAATCCAAACCCACTGGGCCGAACCATGTTAGAAACTTCCATGAGCTTTGTTTAATTTAAAGTCCTCCACGCTATGACCAGGAGAAGTTATTGTCCTAGGCAAATCTGACACCAGAGACAGAATCAGAGCACTGATGTTGTGGGGCCTGGGTTCAAGTTCAGACTCTGTTTCTCATTAGCTGGATGCCCTTGGACAAGCACCTTCAACTTGGAGAGTCTGTCCTTTTATTTACAAACCAAGAGCACCTACCTGGTGAGGACTGATGAGTGTCACGTGCTGGTGCAAAAGCTGCTCTGAGTTAACTTTTCAAAGTACCCAGTACGGCTCCTGGCAACACCAGCTCCCCAGTCAGCAGCAGGAGTAGCACTAATAACAACACAGTCCTGTAGCGCCTTACCACACAGTAGATGTACGTTTGCACACACACTTGAGAAAAAGCATACTTTCAACACATAGCCTGTGCATTCGTTAGTGATTTTGAAGTTTTCCACAGTTAAAACTCATCCAGAATGGTTTAGAAAGTGCAGCAGGGACAGGGCACGGTTCTTTTCGGTTGGGATCCATGCAGACCTCTAAGCTGGAATCACACAAGGCAGTGGAAACAAAGAAAAAAAAGGGACACTAAGAGTCATTCATGTGTGGAGAAGACAGGCTGGGCTTGGGGATTGGCTGGACGTGCGCAGGAGTGCGGTGCGGGCCTGAGGGGCGCGGGGTTTCAGGCAGAGGTGCATTTGAATCTGAGCTGCCCTAGCCGGAGGCAGCGCCTGTTGATCAGGATCAGGAATTAGCTTACTTTTCCTGCGGGTCAACTGGGGAAAGGAAAGTTGCCAAGGGAACTAGAGACAGAAATCTTTTCAGGCACGCAGGAAAGGTTAAGGATTCCGTGCTCTGTGGGAGGAGGAAGGACACTGAAGTCAGAGACCCCGGCGCGGCTGAGGGGGCGTCCGCACCAGGTTCCGATTCATGCACGGTAGGCAGGGACCGAGTGCTCTGCCTCTGGCGCTCTGGCCCTTGAGGCCACGTGCTTAACCTCTGAGTTTTAATCCTGTCATCAGCAGAAGGGCCGGTTGGTGAATAATAAACCTATCTCTTAGACGGTCTTCAAAGTTAAATGAGATAATCCACACCAAGTGCTCCTTACAACCCCTGGGACAGGATAGGCTCTTAGTAGATGATACATTAAAGTTGCTTTTGCAAAGATAGTCTTGCTCCACATAGGGATTGATGGCTGTTCGTTTGGCCTTCTAATATTTTTGAAGCACGCTCCAGTCCCACTTGCTGATAAACTGGGTTCCTCTCCACAATCCTGTTTCACGTGAGGTTCTGGGAAACTCTGAATTTTCAGAATTGAAAAAAAAGTTTTCTTAAGGGTCATCAGTACTGACACGGCTTTTATTATCTAAGTGGCTGACAGGAATCTGCCCGCTATAGCCCCCTCCGTGGACATGACGTAACATCCCCTGGTTAACCTCCTTAACTTGCTTACAAAGGGGAAACTGTCAGGCACGTTTTTCTCTCCCTGGTTTTGAGAACATTTTATGTGTTGGTGGCGCCCATCATTTTTGGACCAAGACTTCTCTTTAAAACTCGGGAGATCTCTGGCAGGCCCTGGCACATGAGCCTGCCTCTCTCCTCCTTTGCTGTCACACGCGTGTAGTAGGTGGCAGAAGCGTGGCATTCTTTGCTGCTTGTCCAAAAACATCCATCTTCGGATAGGTTATTTGTGGACTTTTAGCCGTTTTGTGTCTCTTTTTCAGCCAATGTGTGTCTTAGATCCTAGCATATAGGAAGAAGTTCATCCTTCGTGAGATTTTGCCAAAAGCTTAGTGGTTATATTTCTTCTAATATTCTTCTTAAACTTATCTTTTTTTTTCCTTTTTGTTATCTGAATTTGTTTTGATGAGTTATGATTTGCATGATTTTATAACTGGAGGGAGCCAGGAGGGCTGAGAGATTTGCCCTCTTCTGGGAAACTAGGAAAAAAAGGTTTCCAGCATAAGTCTTCAGATTCAAAACCCTGTGAATATTCTAAGTACTTTCCACATGGATTTTCCAATGTTTTTTGGGACCCTTTCAGAGCGATATTATGTTGCCTCTAAGTATGTTTTTATTCATTGTAAATGTATCTCTTAAGTCAGAATTTTAGCTCCTAAGGGATAGGAGTGTTGCCTTATTCATCTTTGTGTCTCTCAGAGATACAAAGTAAATAATGGCTGGCACTTAATAAGTGTTCATTAAAAGGTATTAAATGTATAGGATGGACTGGTGACATCCATGAATAACCAAAGCCTCCTAAATTAAAAATGGATGCAGAGCATCACCGAGCACTTCCTCCTCCTTATTTATCTTCTACCACATTATATACCTTTGTACAGAATACACATGGTTTACTGTATTCCAAGGTTTAGCTATGAAAAAAATCCCATTTCCTGCTTCCTTGGAGGCTTCATGGGAAGAATCTTCTAAGTGTTAAAAATGTGTTAACCAAGTGCATCTAATTCTACAGGAAACGAGCTACATTGAGGACAACTCCAGCCAAAACAGCGCCATTTCGCTGATCTTCTCCCTCAAAGAAGAAGTTGGTGCACTGGCCAAAGTCTTGCGCTTATTTGAGGTGAGTGCTTTGTCCTCACGTGTCTTGGATAATGCCAAGGGAGACACAGTGAAAACAGCAGAGAGTCTAGACCTGGAACCTTGGCTTTCACTCCGCCCCCTGCGTGAAGCAACTGTGTGAACGTATTAAGTTCAATCTCTTGGAGCATTATTCAGACTACAGTACTGATATTTCACCCCTGCTTAACTTTAACAGGGTCTCTGTGGTAAAATCATGTTTGTAAATTGCTAGGTACATATTCCATATGGTCACAGTGGAAGCCTAGACAAAATCAAATGAAAGAATCATTAATTCTTTAATTCATGGAATTAATATTTATTATCTTGTATGTCTAGCCATAAGATAATAAATAAGACACCATCCCTTCCTCCAAGCAGATTAACCCCAAACTGTATTCCAAGGAACAGCTAATATTTTTCAAGGTACAGATAGACACAATTAAAGAGATTCCATGACCAATATGTATGGGAAGCTTTATCATAGGAGTCTACAAAACTGTAATGCATATAGCAGGTCATTCTAAGGGATAACTGTGTGTACTCTTTTCCAAACTGATTACTGTGGACTCAGTTTTAAGTACATGTTTTAACATCTGAGAACAGAATTCAGGACATGCTGACTTGGGCTTTAGGTAGGCACAGTTTCCTAACCTAGCATTCAGTTTCCTAACCTAGTATAACAGTTTCCTAACTAGTCTCTCCCAAGTATTTTGCTAACGCTTTAGCAGGGCCTTTCTTACCTGAGGATGCTTTGCTTTCTACCATTTTTAATGATCCCTCCCGCTGATTGGCAGGCTAGGTGTCAGGACCATACGCATGGTGTTCAGTATACATTTGTTCATGCGTTCCACCAACACTTCTTGGACCTGGCAGAGTGTGATGAGATCACCCGTGGAAACCCACGGCTTTCTCAGTGCTTGGGAAGGGCTGGAGAGACACAGACAGGGTAAGGAGGAGGCGCTGTTTTGAGGAGCCGTGGAGCAGAGGTGGGAGGGGGGAGTCTCTCAGTGAAGGCAGCTTTAACGATGCCATCTCACTCCATCTTACAAGAGTAGGATGAGGTAGGGGCTTTTGGTCCTTATTTTCCAGAGAAAGAAACTGAAGGTTAGAGAGGCTCATTAACTTACCTGAGGGCACCCAGCTGTAAATGCTGGAGATATTATTTGAGTCCAAGCATTCTGACTCCAGAATCTGACCTCATAACTGTTCCTCAGCACTGCCTTGGACAAGACTGGCTTTATAACTTGCAGGGTTCACTGCACCATGAAAATGCACATCAAAAAAAACAAAAACAAAAACAAAAACAAAAACCAACCAGAAAACAAGTGCTAAAGACAAAACTTTGAAAAAAAATTTCTCCTGCAGTCTCTTCCTTATCATGCCATTTTGTTTCTTTTCCTGATACTGGAGATGGAGCTCAGGTCCTTTGCATTGATCTACAGCCCGAGCTCCACCCCCTTAGTACTTTATTTTGAGAAAAAGTCTTGTTAAATTGCTAATTTGCACTGGAAACTGTGATCCTCTTGCCTACGCTGTCCAGAATCATGGGTTTACTATAAAAGGCATTTATTATAAAAGGCGCTTGCCACGGTGTCTTCTATTGGCTATTTAGTTGTCCTCTTCTTTCTTGGTCACTATGGGCTTCTTTGCTGGTGGACTGACAGTTCCTGCTGATGGAGAACAAGCCCATCTCCCTGCCCCTTGGGCTGCCGCAACCCCGCAGTGATGGGTGAAACTCCAAGCAATTACAATCTCTGGGCAGGAGTCAAAGAAAGGCTCCTGCAGAACCAAGCCACATCTACAGGTGGAGAGGGGACAGCAGGACAGGGACCTCCCCACCAATGTGATACCGCTGGACACCACCCAGGGCAGCGGGGGCCCAGGTGGCAGGGTGAGGTTGGGGCGTCCATGGTGCCAGGGAGCTGGGAGGTTGGGAGGGAACAGAGGGGGAGGCTCACGCCATGTGACTGAGGCTCCAAGCACCCAGCACATGCTCTGTTGCCCCACTGGACTTTGCTCACCAAACACAAGTCCAAGTACATTACTGAGAATTTCCAGAGGGCTCCAAAGAACTTCAGTGCCTGGGGTGAGCCCAGCGGGACTGCACGTGTTACCCACCCAGGGCCCTGCCCAGTCAGTCCTCTCCTACCTGGCACCCCTCAAATGGATCACTCTCTTTCTGTGTCCCCAAAGCAGGCTCCCCTGCACTTGCACCATGGATATGGGTTGCTCACTGTGCCCCTTCCTGTCCGGCCCTGAGCATGGTATCTCTGGGCAGGGCACTTTTGTCTCCACCTTCTTTATAGCCCAGTAGAATTTTATATGCACTAATTGTTCAAGTGAGAACAAAATTAAACTTAAATATGAGGAAAGGAAAGAATCATTTCACTGTTTTGCCATGGATTTTAAAGGGAATATTTAACCTTGCACTCTTTTTTTTTTTTTTTTTTTTGGTTTTTCGCCGGTACCAGGAACCGAACTCACGACCTTGCGCTTGCCAAGCAGGCGCTTTTGCCGCTTAGCTAAATCCCCAGCCCAACCTTGCACTCTTTAATAAAGTTCAATCTAGGGATGACTGTCTAAGTGAGTGGAGAGTAGACAGAAGAATTCCAAATAATTTCAATGGATACTCCCTCCTCCAGGAAGGAGAATGTAACTCCTGCTCCTACAGTGTAGGCTTTGAATAGATTACCTTCCAAAGGGTACAGCAAGGAAGGGGACGAAGGGGTCACGTTACTGTGGAGGAAAAAGGTAAAAGAAAAGTCTTTAAAAATAATTAAACCTGGCTTTTCGAAGCCAAAGGGTGGGTAAATGCCTGACTGAAAGTAAGCAAGGTGTATAGACACAGACAGGGCCCTTACCGAGTGATAAACTATTGTTAAGAATGTATCTTTGTATCATTAGACAGCTAATCACGTTTTCTCCCAGTGAGGTTACCCCTTATACCTAAGTCAGAGTTAATAGATTAAGTAATAGTAAACGGACCAGATGTTTACAATCTAATAAATAAACAATCAGTACTGTAACTCAATTTCCACAGCTGGATGAAATGCTCCCACGAGGTGTGTGTGCATGCATGTGCGCACACACGTGTGTGTGTGTGTGTGTGTGTGTGTGAGCACTCTGGGTGAATTCTTTGGAGCATCCTCTAAGAGCTCACCTGCCCAAGTCACTGAGAGAGTTCTTATACCCATTTTATGGAGAAGAAGCCAGAGACCGCTGTCCTGGTTGATTAATGAAGGGTGGTTTTTAGTGTGCATAGATTTTTTTCCCCAGATATATTTCAAGAGTTGCTTTAGAAATTGCACAGGCCAGCACAGCTCTTACACACTTATTAACATCCTGGTAAAACTCCGAGTTAAAATATAAGCACCCAAAGTGCTGAGCTAAGGGAAAGAAACAAATTCTAGTATTTGTGGAACCATGTTATATGATAAGCCAAGCACGTAATATTTTCAGTTAATTGAGAATGTGGATTCTTTTCCACATTTTTTATGAGCGCAAATTGATTATATAGACTCATGGCTTTCTTTTCGGCAGATCTGTAGATCTGCGTTAAGCTTGAGGGTCTCATTTAATAGATGAGAAAAGGGAAGTGCTAGGAGGCTGGACAGCTGCCTTAAGATCACTCAGGTAATGTGCAGTGCAGATGGGTTTGAACCCTGGACCTCAGATTCCAGAGCCTGGGATCTCCCTGTGGTATTTGATACCTCTGCCCAGCACAGCTGTGTCGGCACCACACTCCTGAATCAGGAGTGTGGGAAAACACATACAAAGTCCTGGTCCCAATCTTCCATTCTTATGCGTGTGTTTGGGTGTGTGTGGGTGTGTGTGGGTGTGTGTGGGTGTGTGCGGGTGTGTGGGTGTGTGTTTGTCTCATGTATTCTTTCTTTTCCTTCCTTCCTCCTCTCCTTCCCTCTTTCCTTTCCTTCTTCTTCCTTTCCTTCCTTCTGAATTAAAAAATGCACCACAGGACAGGAAAGCTAGCCGCTCACATTTCCAGTGCTCATTATCAACCACTGCGAACACATCGACCAATTCCCTGTCATTTTTTTTCCTGCATGATTATGGATTCAAAATTGACAAATTGACACGTTGTTTCTTAAGACAAAAAATTAGAATGCGGAAGATAAAGCTCGAGTCCTTCCTGATCTTCTCCCAGTGCTGGTCTTCCCACACACTGCCTGGCTAAGGCCACACTGCGATGAGTTCAGCATAGCGCCCTCCACTCCCTGCAGACACGGTGGGGATGCTGGCGAGGGTCCTACCCTGCGCGTCATCTGGTAGCCCCGTGCTCGCTCAAGATCCCGACCCGGGGGAGCCAGGGCTGTGGCTTTGACTTCAGTTCCTTATCTGTAAAATGGGAATAAAATCATGTCTGCTTCACAGAGTAATTCAGAGGATTAAACCACTCAATTCATAAAAAAAAACCCGAAAGCCAATTACTTATTAACTGCTCAGTAAGAATTGCTATATATTTTTATGAATGCGATATTTTGAGATAAATGCATATTGATACACACGTCACACGTGTAACATTTAACTTCTAAAGTACAGTTCTTAATATGATTGTATCATATTTTATTTGTCCACCCCATTATGTTTGGTATGCAGGGTGATTCCCGTGCTGTGTAGTCACAGACAATTCTACAGTATTTACTTTTGTACTATTTTTTAGTGTGTAATATGAAAAGGTTTTTCGGGGTTATCTACCTGGCAATGGAATTGCTGATCCTAAGGTGGACATTTTAGTTTTAATAACTTTTTTTTTTTGGTACTGGGAATTGAACTTATGACCTCACACTTGCCAGGCAAGTGCTTGTGCCACTGAGCTATACCCCCAGTCCTGAGCAGTTTTGTTTTAATAGAAACTTCTATGTCTCTTCAAATGTCATCTAACAATTTGTAATGCTGGTAGTTCAGTATAGGAATACTCATTCCTCTATTCTTTTAAGCACATATATTATTAATTTTAATCCTGAACAATATATTGGGTTAGAT